GGAAGACATGTCACCGGTGAAAAGAGCGGGAAAACATTATCCGGTGGAAAGAGCGGGAAAAAGACTTGTATTCGGTGAAAAGAGCGCGAAAATTCGCGTGCGCCAAATCTACACCTGATTGGCTAAAAAGGCAATATGGTTACTATGATAGACTTTAGGTCGCACAAGTTTTTGAATCGATAGACAGTTCGGAAAAACGGAAATGTTTTATTTTAATATACTACTTTTGCACTATATGAGAGGGTTTGAACATAATCCGTGCTAGAGAAGTGGAGAGAGCCACTTGCTCAGAAATCCGCAAACTCAGACGGATTTTCGCTTTAGCTTTTCACTTGAGTGCGAAATTTCGTTACTCTATCTCTGAAGAGCACAGGTTTTAGTTTCGATTACCCAAATCTCGTCTCATTTTTGTTTTAACCAATTCGTTACTGATTCCTTACTGTAAATTTTGTCTTTTTTTTTCTCAGTGAATATTTATCTGAAAGTGCAACGTCTCCAATTAACGTTGATTGTAAAACAAGAGAAGAAGTAGAGTTAAATTTAAAACATCCTGGACGATACATGTTTGACGCTGCTCAGGTAAGCATGATCACATGAACGTAATTTTAAAAATAAAACTGAATTGTGCTTTCAGATTTTTACAGAGTAATGGTACAAAGTCTCAACTACGCATATGAACACGGACAACTGAACACTACGCAAAAACAGGAGATTCGCGGGAATTGAGGAACCTTCCTTCCACTTGGCGACATGTGCAGCAGAAAAAGTTGATTGGCTATTAAAACTTCGAAATAGTTTGCCCGCAACCCGCGCTGTTTATCCGCGACCCGCGCCTTTTACTCGCGACCCGCTCTGATTAGACACTCCCGTTCTACCTCCACCTCCTCATTATCGTTTAATGAAGTTAGGTTTTGTTCATCCATAGGACCACATTTTCCAGCTGATGAAATCGGACAGCTATCGCCGTTTTATCCGCTGTGACCAGTACAAAGAACTTCTCAAGGCTCCTTCAAACAAACAGAAAAGGTCAGTAACCAAGTAGTGAAGTTCGCAATGTAGTGTGGCGCTTGTTTTGTTTGGTTTACTTGCCGAGTTTAGTGATTGGTTGCGTGAAGAATGCGCTAACCAATTAGCTTTAGCCATTGGTAGCCTTATTTCCGTGAGAGATGGCAAAGAGCCAATCACAGCTTGGTTAAAACGCTTGCAACCGGTGTCTGTTTTGCTCTTTGAATGCGCTATTGAAGACCCTGTGAATTGCACTTAAGTGGTTTTGTGTCAGTTAAGTTCTTAGGAAGCCACCGTAGTAGTCAATAAATTCAGCTATGGAAAAAAGAACTAAATTTTCTGAAGTTCTTATCGCTAGACTAAAGTTTCAGGTTTGAAGGAAATTACTGCATCACCCGTGGCGAGAATTCAAACTTTTTTTGGACTCGGAAATAAGTGGCGTTTTGAGTAATCTCTCGTACAAAACGCCCTGGGCTCTATTAAATGTAATCTCGTTTCTTTCTTTTTCAGTCCACTTCCCACAAAACCACTACAAAATTTGGCGCGGATTGCTGGCAAGACATAACGTCAGTTGTACTGGATATTTATTTCTTTGAGAATAGACTATAAAGAATTAATTCTACCTTTACATAATGGAAAAAGTGTTCTGTAGCCTTAGAACAACGATTTAGAGGAGCAGAACGCAGCGCGAGGAACTCAAAAGGGAGCGCGTTTTTCTTCCCTAAACTGCTTGTTGTGCAGCTCACCCTTACGATCTGATGACCCTTGTTAGCCTTAGGAGTAAATATCATTTTGTTATTATTGTTTTGAGATAGCTTATTTTTTTTTAAACGCTTGAAAGAACCCATAGGACATTTAGTCGCTAAGTAACTTGAAGACTGATCGTAAGAATTTGTTTTCGTAACGATCATTGTTACTTGGTGAATTGTAACGCAACCTGTCATGAGAACGTAGGTGTGTAATTCTAGGTATTTTAGTGGCAAATGGAATGAATATCAAATTTTGTATAGCAGTTGGCCATTTAAATAGTGTTTTGTTCACAGTAAATGATCAAGTTCAAAAATTTTGATGTGAATGGCCAGAGAAAAAGAAACCAGTTGACATGTAGGTGTATTTTCAAAGTAAAAATAATTTTTCAGCTAATTCTTCTAACGCAATGTTTTTTTTCGTTTCCACAACCTTCTAACTGTAAATTCCACGATTCGATGAAACTGTGGCATTTTGTTGATTTAGGAGTTCCTGGTCTTAAACTGTCCTGACTTTTCCGATGATTAAGAAAATACTGTCTAATTTCTTTAAAATTCAGCATGCTATATATAAGGTAGTCATTATGTTGTGCTGTTTCCGTATTTTGTATTTCTGGAGAAGCTTGAAATTGTAAATTCAACGAGTAATTGAAGACTTGCACAGCCGTAATTTGGGTCGTAACGCAACGCTTTTCGTAACGGCATTATGTCACGCAACGTCTCTTGTAAAAGCTCTGTGTCACGATACATGAAACGGGTGTGCGTTCCCCACTAGTTAGGAAATTAATATAAAAAATGTACAATTATAAAAACGTGAATGGAATCATTTGAAACTGTATTAATAGTTATTAATCTATTGAGATTTGACATCACTATCATATAGTAAAGTGATAAATTGGCTATTTAATGGATAAATAGAATTTATTGAATAACACAAAGTGATTTATTGCGAGAAATATTCTTGAAATGAATAAAGACGATTTTTTTTCCAGACCAGCTTTTAAAAACACACTCCATTAGTGTATTTTTTGTTTGGTTGTTTTTTGACATACTATAATTTAAAATGTGATCCCTGGACTGGACCATGACCACACACTGATGTAAGCACAGAGATGCACTGAAACTTATTGAGGCATGCATCCCAAAACTTGTGGTTGAGATGCACCGTAGGTTTGATTTCCACCACTCACGTC